ATAATATTTCAGTCAAGTTTTCGGAAATTGAAAACTATATTATTCAAAAAAGTGCACTTAATAAAGCGCGATTGCACTTAGTGAACAGATGATTCCTAATAGTAGCTATGCACCAGCATAACCTCACTATTGCCACTTCAACGATGATTATCTGTATCAATTATTTCATTAGTGATAAAAACATTCAATATCAAGAATGACACAAGACCAATTTCCTTTGACAGAGGGCAAGTATTAGTATTTTAAAACAGTTTAATCTGTGACAGATATTGAAATATAGTATGCAGAGTGACAGTAAGCAGCAAAAATGAGCAAAATTTTATATTATAAATACTCTAGGTTTCCGCGCACCTCGACATAATGTTTAGCAATAAGATATAGTGTTGGTGCCCTTTTGTTTAGGTTTAGTAAATACAAGTATCGCTTTTGTGAAGTTTATACATTCATTTTATATTTCAGAAATGTTTTTACACGTAATATAAATTATTATTTTTATAAAGCTCTTAAAAATAGGTATTTTCTTGATTTATAAAGGAATACAACATAACTAACTGTACTTTGTATGGTCTCTAGTTCTTTTAAGAAAAAAATCAACCAATTGCCAACAATTAAATTACATTAAATATGTCTCGTATTCATTTGGGAGGGAGAGGATCGTCCTTAATGTGTTTGTATGGTTGTGATTATTTATCAAACAAGTTACTTTACTATCCATTTTCACAATAACAGTTAATTTCTATGAATGAGTAGGTCTTATTTAACATGGGGATATGCTTCTCATAAAAGAGAATGATATCTTAGAATAGTTTCCTGAAGGTCAACATATCAGAGGTGCAGTGATAAATCATTCATTAGTGTTAAATCCCTTTCGACAGACTTCTTACAGCAGACAAATTTCATTAGTTAGCTACGATCATGTGCAGTTCCTGGAAGTAGGATAAAAAAGGCATAGACTTCCTCGTTTTTTATTGCATGTAAATTTACATTGTACATATAAAAATAAATCTGGTATCCCCAAAATCTAAATATTTTATAAAAGCGTTATATATGACCTAGGTAAATATTATCAGATAGGAAACACTTTTTAGAATTGTTTGACTAAATCTGCCTTTATCCATCTTCATTTACCTCCCAAACCTCCATCCAATTTGCTTAAGTTAAGCAACTCATTTCTATTTTTGTTTTATTCATTTACACTTTTTTGAAAAAGAGACTGAATTTGGAACGTTTTCATCATTTCTTATCATAATTTCATTCAGCAATTAATTCTTTTGTGAAAAAGGATGGTGTAGAAGAAGTTAGGGTATTCAATGTCTGTCCTTGATTTGTCCTTAATATGACAGAAATGGCATAATTGCACAAAGTCAACTTCGGAAGGCATTGACCGTCACGGTAGATCAGTCGGTAGAGCGCTCGCTCCGTGATCGGAAGATCGTGAGTTCGAATCTCGGCGCGACTGACCTAAGTCGATAAAAAATAGGTAGCAATTGTTCCTTCGCCATGCGCTCGGCACTTTGAAGTGAAAGTTGCGAGTCCTTCGGATGAGACCTTAAAAACCGAGGCCCCGTGTCACGGGAGGTGTTGGCACGATAAAGATTCCTCACTGCTCAATGGCCCTGAGTGCCGAGTAAAGATCCAAATTTGAAGCCCTTCACTGGTATATGGTGACGTTTCTATATGAGTGAAAAATTCTCGAATGGGACGTAAAACAACATACATTCAATCGGAAGGCATTGCTTAGGATAATGCACTGACATTTATACATACGGTCAGATCTGAGGCAATGACCGCACAATTCAAGCATTCAATGCGGACAGATGTTTTATTTAATATTGAATATTACAGATAAAAAGTTTTATTACTTGCAGGACTCATTTCAATGAATATTTTAATATAATATCTCATTTGATAACAACCGTTAAGTAACCTTTCCATTTCGACTTAAATGCGTGTCTACGAGAAAACCATGCAGAATGCTATGAAAGCAAGTTTTTCAAAATTTCTTGAAACTTTGCATACAAAGTGAGATCAAGGTCACTTACTTACTGCGTAAGTTTGGTGACGTCATTTGATTTGTTACCATGGATACAGGGAGAATTAGTTTATCGTCAGCCTATTTCTATACCCAGTAGGGAAAAATAACACCTTTTGTACATATTCTGTTTGTGTATAAAAAAAATTCCATAATATCTTCATAACTAATGGATTTAAGGAATTAAAACCTTTGAAAAAAATATTTACAGAATTTTTTTCCACATACCTTTTTGAATGTGAAGAGCTACGAGTGCAAAAAGGTCACGATAATTGTAAGAAATAAAGATATTTGAATAGTCTGCAGAAAAACAGCTATAAAATTCCAAGAAACGCTTCCATTGATTTCATATTTTTAAAAAGTGATTGTTTTTAAATATATTATTTAGTATTAATGGGATTTTGGTTGCAAATTTAAATTAATGGAGTTTTCACTCTTGTAAGTGCAGAACTGCAAGTGCAAAAAGGTCACAATAATTCTAAGGGATATTCTGTAGAAAAAAACAGGCATAGAATTTCAAGAGACACTTCAGTGATTATATTTTTTATCAAGAAGTATTTGTTTTAAGATATTTAAGTAAAAATAACAGGCAATTTGGTGGCACATTTGAATTAGTTGATTTTTTCACCTTAGCAAAATTACACTATATCTGGGTAGAAAAGGCATACTGGACTACTGGAGTGATTACATTTTGAACATTAAATCATTTCAGGCACATGACCTTCAACCTTCATGACTGAAATTAGCTTGTATTTATCCAGAATGTCACAAAGATGCATGATTTGAATATTTGTTTAACCAGAAGTCTTTTTCGAGACTGTAGCTCTACTGGTTTGTACTTCTAACAAAGGAAGAGATAAGTAGCAGTTGGACTTGAAACTTTGCAACAGAAATAAATAGAATAATGATCCTTGATTTGGTCTCTTTTCATGGAAATCTGACTAAAACTAAAGGGGGAGTAGATTTTAAAAGAATTTTACAGAAATTTCTATTTTAGTAACCATAGCAACACCGTTCATCAAAATCAAAATCCGATAAAAAAAAATTATGTATCTCAGTGTACTTTACTTGTGTGCCAAGTAATATTGAAATCAGACCAAAACTGTAGGAGGAGTAGCTTTTGTTGACGGACAGACAGACGACCAACCCCTTACTATCGCATAAGGTCTTCTGGTCTCTAACCAGTAGAGCTAAAAATCATGAGTTTTTGACAAGGCTTAATGTATTATAGCAATGAACTGGCTATACATGTAGCTATGGGGCTCATTTTACAGGATCCCTTAGCATGAAAATGCACATTGCAAAAACTGCAAATACATAAAATTGCAAGTGTAACAGAGAGAGTGTTCAAAAGTGTGAACACATCAGTAAATAAAATCCACTTTTTCACAGTGTTGCCCAAATTTCATACAGTTCTTCATTGCAAAAGTTGTTTTTAAACATGCAAAACATTTTATACAAATGCTGATTTTGTTTGCCCTAAAATTATACAAATGAATGAACAGAACAAAGTTTATGTCTTTTTTAATACCATAAAGTCATACAAACACAACTAGTATTTAATATTTGACAATGCTCAACTAAATTCCTTCAACTGCATTTGAAAAATACCAAATGTATCATGTACATGTTACTTTTACATAGAAAATTTAAAGACAGCAACATTATAAAAAATTTTATTACTAAGATGATCTCTAATATTAAATTGTCAAAAAAAAAAAAAAAAAAAAAAAAAAATTAAAAAACCCATTTGAAGCTACTACACTGAAATAAAGCAAAATAATAATATTTGAATTAATATAACAAATAATGCCTATGCTGTTCTTAACAAGATGATTTTTATTGATATATCATTTGTATTCCTTTGAATAACTTTGATCCCCTGTTATGGCCCCCCTATTCTCTGGGGGGGGGGGGTCATGATTTGAACAAAATTTGAGTCTACATTACCTGAGGGTGCTTCCATTTAAATATGACTAATTATGGCTTTGCTGTTCTTGAGAAGAAGATTTTAAAAGGCTTTTTCCTATGTATTCCTATGTAAAACTTTGATCGCCCATTGTGGCCCCACCCTACCCCTGGGGGGAGGGGGGTCATGACTGGAACAAACTTGAATCTTCACTACCTGAGGATGCACCCATATAAAAATGACCAATCATGGCTTTGCTGTTCTTGAGAAGAAGATTTTTACAAATTTTTCCTACGTACATGTATTATATGCAAAACTTTGATCGACCATTCTGGCCCCACCCTACTCCCGGGGGTCATGATTGGAACAAATTTGAACTTACACTACTTGAGGATGCTTCCTTTTAAATATGATCAATCATGGCTTTGCTGTTTCTGAGAAGAAGATTTTTAAAGGCTTTTTCCTATGTATTCCTAAGTAAAACTTTGATCACCCATTGTGGCCCCACCCTACCCCTGGAAGTCATGATTTAAACAAACTTGGATCTACACTACCTGAGGATGCTTCCATATAAGTTTCATATTTTCAAGCACAGTGGTTCTTGACAAGTTTTTAGGTGATGCCATCAATTTTTCACAATTCATGATTATCTCCCCTTGGAAGAAGGTGTGGCCCTTCATTTGAACAAACTTGAATTCCCTTTACCCAAGGATACTTTGTGTCAAGTTTGGTTGAAATTGGCACAGTGGTTCTTGAGAAGAAGATGAAAATGTGAAAAGTTTACAACCACACCAACCACGACGACAGACAATGGACATATTTCGATCATAAAAAGCTCACTTGAGCCTTCGGCTCAGGTGAACTAAACTAAAGTTTCATCCTTTTCCTTTGGAATGCCGTCGACAGCTTGAAGCATCACTTCTGTACCTTGGCATGGTGCAACAGGCCCTATTGCTAAATGTACTGACATATGTATAATATTCCTGAACAGTATTGCAAATAGTCCAATTTCTGAGATACTTGACACTTTAAGGGAGGGTAATTTCCATTTGACAGGATATGCTTTGCATGATTGAACAATTTATGCTGAGATCTTTCATCTTTTGACCAATTTAGATGCACTGATGATATGAATTCAAAATCTGTAAAAGCAATGACAAATTGATGTTTGAATTAAAGTTCATAATTGATATTGCAATAATTATGATAATCAAAGAAGACATTTTAGTACAGTAAATTTTCATTTATACCCAAAAGCAAAAGAGCATGTATTTTGATGTTCTAAATGACATTGGGAATTAGGGAATAATTTCAATTTTACAACAAAGGGACCTTGGCAATGCTAGCCTGAATCACCTTTATTTCCTATTTTGTAAGATATCCAAATGCCTTAAATGGCTAATTGAGTTTAATGCAAACCTGCAAATGATCCAAATATAAAACAAGCTAATTCAGAGAATTGTGGCCCCCACTTATGGAAAAAAATGAGGATGGAAGAACTGGACAAAAAAAAACATGCAGATGGAAAAAAAAAGGTCAACCTTAACCTTTCAGCTTTTAGCCTTAAAGTCAATTGGTGTCTTTTTTTATTAAAGAAATAAATTCAAGACCTCAAAGAGAACCAAAGTTATCACCAGGACATTATTTATTGCAAGATATGAATTTTTCAACTATACCTTTTAACTTTGAAATCAAAGGGGATTTCTTTAAGTCATTGGGAATTATGATATAAAATTTAACAGAAAAAGCTCAAGGGAAACAAAAGTTATTATTTGAATTTTTTTTGTATTGTAGGAATTTCCAACCTTGACCTTTTGACCTCAAATCAATAGGGGTCTTCTCTAGGCTGTAAGGAGTTGTGATATGAAATGATATTGCAAAAGCTCAAAGGCTTTAAGAGATATTGTTCCCAAATTAAAGTGTTATAGTACATACATGTACAGACAGAATGACCAATGGACAGACCAATAAACATTTATTGGGGGGTTGGGGGGTTGGCGGCTGTTACCTGCAGGTATTAGGTCATATGTTTTCTGTTATGTCCATGACTTCCTCCATTTTCCTCCACTCTTTGCTCTGTAAAATAATTGAAAAAGCCATGAAGTATATATACCCTTATACATTACAGTTAATGCTAAAAATGCTAATGCTGAAACAATTTGAATGAATCATAATTAAATAATTTTAAAGCTCAAAACTTGAACTATATGGACTGGACTTTTCAGTTTATCAGTCACATATTCAGGCATCTTCACCATTTGCACCTATCTTGACGTAAATTGTTCTTTGTGATTTTGTTTATCAATAATGTGAATGAGCACTTACATGTATATTATCATGATTATAGTAACTTGTATGTATACATTATAAAATGTTAACCACATGTACAAACTCTGGTTCATGTCATTGAACTGCATGATAACAATGTCCACTTAGTTATATTTTTCAGTGTGGAAATGAAACATATTTGTTAATTTTATTTTTTGAGATATTAACCATTGACATTATCTTTATTATTATGTAGTACCTTAAAAATATTATATTATATTACAGTAAGTGATCACCTGTTTGGTTTGATTCAATTGTTGCCTTGTCAATAGGAACACATTTCTGCTAAAGAATAAACATTAATTTTAATATTAACTATACAATACTTAATAATCCTCATAGTTACATGAATACTTATAACCAGTTATGTACACATAAAATGAAACAGAAATCACACTTGAGATTTTATTTTTAGAACTAATTCAAAATAATATGCAATTGAAATTTTATTTCCAAACAGGATTGGATCATTTACATGTGAAATCTATCAATATTATGAAACTATTGAGTGTAAAATCCATTCATCAACATTTACTGTAGAATCCTTAATATATGTGAGTACTAAATATACTCAGATGAGAACAAGAATTAACAAGTGGACTGCTGCTCAAGAGTTTTCACTTTTTACATGTATTTCAGCTATAACATAATAAAAGCAGGTAATTTTGCTTCATAAGTGAAACTTGATGTATAAGCTACTGAGTAAATTTTAGAAATAATTTGATAAAACTTTTACATATAATTATAAACACACAGTATATGTATATGTACCTTTAAGCTCTTCCTTCAGCTTTACTTCCATACTGATTTTTTAATGTGTGTTTCTATACATCTTTTCCATATACCTGTAACAATTAGGAATCAAATTAGTTGATAGATATAAATCATTATAGATTGGACATGTAAGTTGTATAAACTTGATATCAATAGGTTTTCACAAACTATAAAGACAAAGTCAGTAAATATTTCCAATTATGATATCATTTTGTGATATTATATTTACATGTATAGGGTTGTCCTTAAGACCTGTGGGACTGGGGAATTTCTTCACCTATAATGACATAATTCCCCAATTACTCTGGTATTGCCCTCTCAACCCTCACTAAGGGGAGGAACCCCCAACATGCTTTTTTTTTAAAAAAATCTGTTTCATTTCTTATTGACAACCCAAATATCATGTACAGTGTCTCTCTGAAAACTTTAAGGTCAGAAATTAAAATAATTTCAATGGTTTAGCAAAATTCCTTAAGTTTTTAAACTGCAAAATGTTCTTACCAGTTCCAACAGGCAAAACCTCATTCAGCTTGACCCTCTCGGTTAACGGGTTTGCATAATAGCGTCTCCCCTATCAGGTATGGGTGACAACATGTTCTTTTTTTCCTTTTCCAGTGTAGACCAAGTATATTTCTGTGTTTGACACATACATGTACATGTAGGTATGTTTACAGAAATTAGACTGTCCAAGTCCCATAACAGCTGCATGGTTCAAGATGGTTAACGATAAGAAGCGTTTCAGGGACAGAAATGTCTTCTGTGCTACATTTAAAATACCTTGTATATTCAGCTGAATCTATTTTACAATCTTTCAACAAAGCTAGAGATCTTTTATCATAATATTGTCCTCAAATCAACACTTCATCTTTTCGTCTGCCATTAAGACATCACACTTTTAATTCCTTTAAATAAGGAGAGTTCCACTAAGGGAGATAATTTTTCTAATAGTTTCAGCCAACTTCAATCTATTTTTAAATTAGCATAATGCCATTTGCAACCAAATTCCTTTTAACTATATATTGATTTTGAAGGATTTTTGCAATTAAACTGATATTTATAATGTTTTAAGCGTTTCTTGGGTTTTTACAGCATTCTAAAGATAGTGGTATTTTAAACACATTGATTTAATCTAATTTTAGACCCCACTTTTACAGAATCAGTGTTGATAGAAGGAATTAAATAAAATATTTCTAGTTAGAGCACTTCCTTTAAATTTATTTAATATGTAACATTTGAATAAAAGTGCAATTTTTCCTGCAATTTTTTTCTCTTAATCTATGGGTGTTTTTCAAAATATTTTCATAAAATGTGCTAAAAATAGAATATAGGGCTATAATAGGGATCCCCAAAGGTATACCTGACAGTTTTGATACTGGGATTTATTAGAGGACACATGATGCTAATCAGAAACAATAAAATCAGTCAAAATGATCACAATGCCTTTCATAATAAAATTTGGATTTTGCATGGTTTTCTCGTAGACACGCATTTAAGTGTTAAATGAAATGTCTAATACAATTAGACTCTTCTATGTAACGGAAAATGCTGAAGAAGCATGGCATATTTTAAAACTACAATATTTTCTGAAAAATCTAGTATTAATATTATATAATTAAAATAATTTCAAAAGAAAAGAAAATTCTAATGGGAAGAAATTTAATTAACAAACAGTTTATAAATTACTCTGGAGAGATTGAAAACTTTATCCCGAGTATAAAATCGTATTCTGGCATCTGAAAAAGGCAGAATATACTAGGTAAGGCTTGTTCTTTTAGCAGTTACTCTGCCAAACACTAAAAAATGTCATACTTTTCCAATTTGGTTTCAGTTACATGTAAGTGTTAAAATGGGATGAGCCACAAAATGAGACAAATACCAGATCGTGGATTCTTATCCTAAATTGAATTCATTCAACATATGATAATGCAATGAATAACCTTCAAATATTCAATACCAAAACACTGTATCACAATCAAGGGTAAAAAGAGTCCTAAATAAATTATTCTGATTATATGTAATAAAAATTTCCATAAATCATTTTTGCATCTGTATCGTTGGGATACTTTGAGTACAAGTATGAACTCTACATATCTAAAGTTTACAAGGAAGTCACAGTGAGATTGAATGAAAAGCAGGGAGACTTAAACGTAAGCAAGAAATTTTAGGAAAAAAATCTATATCAGTAGTTGTTGAGTGCACTTAATGAATGTCCTTCATTCGTACTAAGCATGGCACAGATTTCATAATTCAAAGTCATTTTCTAGAACGGTTCGCTTTAAAGAAAAGTTTGTTTATTACATTTATGATCTGATGCAACAATCATTCGATTTAAACAACCAATGGGGAAAGGTTTGTCATTAGCAACTTAAGAAAGACAAACATTCAAACTTTTGTTGTTGTTTGTGTGTGTCTGTGTGTGTGTTTTTTTTTTGGGGGGGGGGGGGGTTGTATGTTTTTTTTTTAAACTAGATTAGCTATTGATAAAGTAAAGTCTTGACGAGCATCTCAATAATTTCCATAATATTTCTTTTTTATACTTTTGTATTCAGTTCTAGGAGTTAGGAAACTTTAGAGATGAAAATGTACTTTTTGAAAATCCCAGATAACATTCGTAACAATTTCTTGTAATATTTCATTCTGTCTCATATGACGAAAATAGCGAGTTGATTTTGTAACCTGCAGACATTAAAGAATAAAGATATGTACATCTTTTAGAAAGAAATTTATTTTTTGGTCATTTTTGGAACCTATTATTAAACTGGTTTAATTACGCATGGATCAAATAGTGGTATATATATATATAAAAAACATTTTCAAATGTAAATACATGTATATGTTGTACTAAATAAAAAAAGTAAAATTTTATAGATTTTTTGGGACCAAACTTTTAGTAATTTATGAATGAATCTTTACATGAGTAATGTATGAATAATGGTTTTGTGACATACCAATTGTAAAAAAAAATATTTTTATATTTAAAATGCAAGTCGAGATGACACTTCACATATGCAGGGAAAATCTACAACAGTAACATTCATATTGCTTAATGCACATTACATTAACATACCTTTCCAAAATATGGAAACATTAGAAATTATATTAATTCGTCACCGCAGTTTTGATGTAAATGTTAAAATTCACATTGACGTAGGGTTAAATTGTTCTTAATATGGAATAAACAAAAAATGGTAAGAAATATCATACATTTACAAACAATAAAAAGCATTTTAAATGATATCCTTTCCTCAGCTAGAAACAAAAACTCTTATAATTATTATTTAAGTGGATAAATCTCAAAAATGAAGAGTGAAATTGGAATCTTTTGTTGCAACAATTTCCTTTTTATCGCGTAATACACAGTTTTTTTTAGAGTCGTAGAAACTGTTATTAGCATGACTTGAAATAGAAAGGCAGAACTATGATGTCTTGCAATGATAGCGCAAGCTTTTTATACTATGTTCTATATCGTATTCTACAAAAGTTAACTTTATAGAAGAAATAAACTGAGAAATAAAATACTGTTGAAGTATAAGAATGTTTGGGTACTTACAGTGTTTTATCCTAAACTACTTTCCCAATTAGAAAATGTCTAGCTAGTGCTTTTATCCTTGTTTCCTGGTAATATATTTAGAAGATGATAATTTTCCTGATATAATCCTTGGTTATCTTTAATGATGACAGAGACATTTATATGAGCATTTGCAATAACCTATCTGCTAATTTTCAGAACCTGAGGATCGGATTACTTTAATATAAAGAGAAGAGATTGCCTATATATTTTCTATCTTGTAAATGTTTTATATTGAATTACCTTGATTAGAATTATATATACTCCTGGTGTTATTTCTCTTATCAAAATCCAGAAGTAGACATATCTTACTTTTCCAGCCTTGTAATCTTGCATTATTAGAAAAAAATACCAAATAGCATTTGAGTCAAGGTGATGTACTTTAGATAAAACGAATTGTACGAATATTTTTTGTTAATGCCGTGTCCTTCCATAAGACAATTATCATATTACATGTTTGTTGCATGTTTAATGCATGTGAAGAAGAAGGGAAGAGGAGGTTGAAAAGCTAAAAAGAGAGAGCTAGAAAATATGAAATAGAAATCTCTTTCATGATCAACCGTGATCGAACTAAAGAAATACAAGCAATATACATCTGTGAAAGGGCATACGAGTAAAAGACGTACCCTGGGAAATTCCAGAGGTAGTATTAGATACTTATGGGAAAGTAGGCTTAAATTTCATAATACTAAATGAACATATTAAAATTATTCGTGTCTTTATTTCAACAACTACTTACCAAGCGACATACACTTTATTTATTCAGCAAAATGCTTTCTTTCCCCCGAAAAAAAGTTGTTTAATATTTAAGATAATCACTTCTCTAAAAATTTGCACAGGAATGTGAACCTTTCTCATTAAAAGTCATTCAATTTTTTTTTTTTTTAAATTTCTCATTTCAATAAAACATGTACAAATATTTTATAATCATTAAAATTCTTTTTAATAAAAACCAGAAGGTCAAAGTCTAAGTTCTGATTTAAATCTGTTATCAGCTTAAAGTCTTGAGACCAAGTCGTTCAATAACCTGTTCGAATCTCAAAGATATGACATTTAATCCTTTATTTTCTGACAGTTCTTGTATTCTTATGAAGCAGAATTCATTCAAAACTTCTACTTTTAAAGAAAATTGTCTTCTGCTTAACATATACCTAGAAAGTTTTATCATATTTTATCAATATCCCTTTTTTTTTGCCGTATTACATATGTTAGCTATTTTGTACAGTTCGTACAGTAAAATTATCAAGACAGAGCTGTGTTCAACACATAGATCTCTTTAATTTGAATTTGTCCCGCACAAAAAGGGGTAAAAATAAAAATTGGCTACTACATTCCTAAGTACAATTATATTATTGCGTTTTTCCACTTTCTATAGTTCATGATACTCGATAACAAAAGTTATATCGAAAAACGACCCAACGTAATGGAACTATGACTCCTTTCGCAGTAATTACCGCCTGAACGAAAA